GGGGGGAGAAGAGCTCTGTCTCCTCCATCCCCCCCGCTCAATCTCCCCGAGGCGGCGGCGAGGCCAGTCCTCCCCCCCATCCGGCTCCGAGGCGGCGGCGGCGGCGAGGCTGATCCTCCCCCTCTGGCTCCGCGGCGGCAGCGGCGAGGCCGGCTACAGAGCATTCCCTGCGCATGCGCAGGGGACGCTCTGTCACTTTAGGGGGGATTCAAGTATCCCCCCGTTTTTTAAAAAAAACTTTTGAGATTTTTGTGCACACCTGGGGACCGCCGCACGTGTGCACAAAACTCTCCCTCCCCCCCCCAAGTGCCCCTTCTGTGCTGATTTAGATATCCGCACAGAGGGGGCTACTTCGGTATTAGATATATAGATGGTATCAGATTGATCTAATTTCTGTGCACTGAGGACAAGCAAGTCCTAGGTTACAAACTGAACTCTCCAATGCAAGAACAAGATGCATTTCTTCCTTTACGAGGTGCGATTGTCAGAAGAAAATAAAAATGTTTCAGTTTTGTTTTTGCATGTGGGTGGGTATTCTGTTTGTAAGAATAGTTTGGATACACTATATTTTCAATATGCTAGTTGTGATAATTTCATGCCAAGTAAAAATGTCCATAGTCATATTTTATGTTCCTAAAGTAACAGAATGACTTTCAATCTAGAAAAGACAAAAGAAATGCTAATGTAGCATTTTTTTTCATTTTTTCCGAAAATTTCCATTTCCCCCCGAAAAAGCCCGGGGGAAAAAACGGGGTTTTTTCCAAGCTTCAAAATTTCCGGAAATTTTACATCTCTACTCGTGGCACCCTGAGGGGTGAGAGAAGTATGCCGCCTCCTACCATTTCCCCTGTCAACAGCTGCAAGGGGGGCCAAATTGGATGGGGAATGCAATTTGCTACTTGCACCTGCCCTCAAGTGCAATTACAAGCGATGCAAGAGGAGCAGGGCAATACATCTAAAACTGGACTGGATCATCAGAGAGAGCGGGACATTAAAAACAGTATAACGCAGCAAACGAACGGGGTTGGTGGGTGTTGGCGGTATTTGCCAGATGCAGATCCCCTTCCTGCAGTTGCTCTTTGTCTTCTCTGGGGTATAGAGGGGGGGGGATGCTTAACACCCTCCTCTTCCACCAGCACCAAAACCCGGATCCAAATCTCACCCCGTCTCCTGTCTGCTGCCGACTTAGAGGCTGGGGAGCAACTGGGGCTCTCCAATGTCTGCGGGAGCCCATGAAAATGTCCACGTGCAAACGGAATCAGTCCCGTGCAGTGTTCCCCCTAAGCTGAGTGCGCGCTAGTTCACAGTTTCTTAGCCTCCGGCTCACAGATTTCTGTCTTGGCTCAGGCAGGATGGGGCTCCCGAGCAAACTAACTGATGCAGGAGACGAATCGCTCACTCACAACTTTAATGCCTGGAGCTCACAAAAGTAGAATTTTTGTGCACGAGACTCCACAGCTTAGAGGAGTATTGATCCCGTGGCCTTCTCCAGAGAAAGAAGCCTCCACCGTGTCAGTTTTGGAGCAGCCATTTTTCCCTAAGCATCAGAATTCCCTCCTGCCATGGGTGTGGTCTGGGTTACGGAGCCCTCACCAGCGGGGTGCAGACCTGAAGCCTTTCGCCCTTCTCCTGCCCTGGGAGACCCCACTGACGACGACGCTGGCCTTGGGCTGCTTCAGAACCCATGCGGAAGGGGCAGGCCAGCGCCACAAAGCCAGTTAGCAGAGGGAGCAGAAGCAAAGCACTCAGAAAGAGCCGGGGGCAGGCAGCGTTAGCTCCCCCCCACACCAAGAGGCAAGGAAAACCCCCTTTTCAGCTTACTCAGGAGAACTGGAGGAGGTGTTAACCAGTGTTCTCTCTGAGCTGAGTCAGTGTGAGCCAGCTCACAGTTTTTTAGCCTCTAGCTCACACACACTTGCCTTTGCTCGGGAATGATGGGGCTCCAGAGCAAACTGATTGATGCAGCAGCCAAATCGCTCGGCTCACAACTTTAATGCCAGGAGCTCACAAAGTAGAATTTTTGCTCACAAGACTCCACAGCTTAGAGGGAACATTACATGACTTTGGTGTAATGGTTATGAGCATGGTTTGGTGTAGTGGTTAGGAGCGCAGACTCTAATCTGAGAGAACCGGGTTTGATTCCCCACTCCTCCACATGGAGCTGCCGGGGTGACCTTGGGTCAGTCACATGTTCTCTCAGAGCTGTTCTCTCAAAAGCAGTCCTTGAAAGAGCTCTCTCAGCCCCGCCTATTTCACAGGCAGTGTTCCCTCTAAGCTAAGTTAGTGTGAGTCAGCTCAAAGTCTTTTAGCCTCTGGCTCACACATTTTTGTCTGAGCTCGGGAAGGAGGGCTCCAGAGTGAACTAATTGATGCAGCAGCCAAATCGCTTGCTCACAACGTTAATGCTGGTAGCTCACAAAGTAGAATTTTTGCTCGCAAGACTCCACACCGCAGCTTAGAGGGAGCACTGGTGTTAACCCCTCTGCCTTCCCCCCTCCCTGCCCAAAGTTTTAATTGCTTTTACGCTTTTTGTATATGTGTCTTTTAGCTTTAGTTTTAATTGACGGAATGATGCGTTTTCTGCGAGGTTGTCCTGGCTCTTCGTTAAGTGGTCGTCTTAGGCCTGATTCTAACCTGTTCGCCTTTCCGAGGGCAGAAAGGCGAGGCACAAGTTTTGAAAATGATAAGGAGGAACCTGTAAGACCTGTCAGCCCAGCCCCCCCCCCGAGCCCCGCTGAAAGGGATGGCCCTGTAGTGGCAGCAGCCCAGACGGCCCCGCTCACCTTTCACGCCCAGCTGCCTGGAGTAGGCCTGCATGCCCGCGTCATCCCGCAAGATGATGGCTCGCCAGAGTTTGCACAGGGCTTCGCGGTCTCTGCCGGAGCCACGAGAAGAATGTCAGAGTTGCGACGATGGGGCCTCCGGGGCAGGAACTCGCCCTGGGTCACTGAGGGGGGGTCCTCGTCAGGAACATCCCTGCCCCCACCCTCGGTGGCTATTACCTTTCGTGGAGAAACTCGTAGAGGCCGTGGTCGAGGAGGATGAGCTGGGCCTTCCCGTCCGGGCCCTTCCGCACCAGAACTGCCAGGGAGAAAGGGAAGGGCAGTGAGTGAGGGTCTCCTCCAGTGCAACTTCTCCCTAGAACCTGCGCTGAGAGGAGAGTCAGGAGAAAAGGCCACTGCAAACCTCTGGTCCCCGCGGTGGGCTCTTCCAGGTCCTCAACGGACAGGCCACTACAGGGCTACTGAGCCTCCCCAGAGGGACCACTACAGGTCCCCTCCCAAAGCCTCCTTTCCACACGGTGCCTTCTCGCCTCGTTCACCTGCCAGAATGCAAGCCCCTCCCCCTTTCCAACGCATGCACCCATGCTCAGGACCAGTGTCCCCTCTAAGCTGAGTTAGTTGTGAGCTAGCTCACAGTTTTTTTAGCCTCCGGCTCACACATTTCCCCCTTTGCTCTGGAAGGGATGGCTCCAGAGCAAAGTAATTTATGCAGCAGCCAAATCGCTCGCTCACACCTTTAAGGCCAGGAGCTCACGAAGTAGAATTTTTGCTCTCAAGACTCCACAGCTTAGAGGGAGCATTGCTCCGGACGAGTGTCCCCTCTAAGCTGAGTTATTGTGAGCTAGCTCACAGTTTTTTAGCCTCCGGCTCACAAATTTCCCCCTTCTCTCAGGAAGGATGGGGCTCCAGAGCAAACTAACTTATGCAGCAGCCAAATTGCTCGCTCACTACTTTAAGGCCAGGAGCTTACAAAGTAGAATTTTTGCTCACAAGACTCCACAGCTTAGAGGGAGCATTGCTCAGGACCACGATCCCTGCAGGCCCCCACGGGCCACCGACGGCATCGGGTGCCCCTCCTCATACCATTTCCGGGGTGGGGGTCCGCGTGGATGAATCCCGTGTAGAAGATCTGCTCCGCGAACATCTGGATTAACTTGGATGCTGCCTGCGGGCGCACAGAGAGACAGGTGTGGGTGAGTGACGGGGGCCCGGGGGACGGCTGGCACCCAGACAGCGGGGGAGCCAAGAGCCCAGACGCCACCCTCGGCAATAAGGGAGGCGGGCAAGCGCCCGTCCCGCACTACCCACAGGATGACCGGGAGGGGCTGCTTTTACATCTCAGGCGGCCGTCCTATATGCAGCCGGAAAGGACAGCGCAGCTGCAGCAGGAGGGATGGAGGCTTTATTTGTTTGTTTATTTATTTATTTATTCTATTCATCATCCGCTCTCCCCGCAAGCGGGCTCAGGGCAGCTCACACGGCCTGGCTCAGTGCCAGATTCATATACAGAACACATTAGAGCTTAAAACGTTATCAAAACATTTAAACAATCAACATTTAAATTAATGTACTCTGTAGTTGTTCACCAAGATCGCATAGCACAGTGGTGGCGAACCTCTGGCACGGGTGCCAGAGGTGGCACTCAGAGCCCTCTCTGTGGGCACGCGTGCCATCGCCCCAGCCAGGCCCAGACCATCATTAAAGTGTCGAATTCTCTGCCAAATAATTTTAAGTAAATGAAAGCATTTGGGATTGCTTTCCTTACTTTGTTTGGATCATCTTAAGTTAATGTATAAGTTGTTTTTTTCTAAAGCAAAACCTCAGTATTCAGGTTAAATTGCAGCGTTGGCACGTTGTGATAAATAAGTGGGTTTTGGGTCGCAGTTTGGGCACGCAGTCTCTAAAAGGTTCGCCATCACTGGCATAGCATGTCATGTAGCTCCACAGCGACTGGCTCACAACTGGTTTGACTGCCTACTACAGCCAGTCTCTACCCCAGATATTAATGGTGGTCGTTGGTGATAAGGGCGGCTCCTAGTTGAAAGCCAGGTGGAAGAGCTCCGTCTTGCAGGCCCTGCAGAACTGCATAAGATCCCGCAGGGCCCTGATCTCTTTCGGGAGCTCGGTAAGGAGCCGTCACTGAAAGCCCTGGCTCTAGTGGCCGTGAGCCTGCCCACGGATCTCACGGGGGCGGAAGAGACTTCAACGTTCTCCACCCTTTCCCTCGACTGATCTGTAATGCTCTTTCCATCCACCCCCAACCCGAACTTACGTCCTTGACGTGTAGGCCTTGTCTCTGGATCCCTTCCACATCGTTGATTTTGCAGCCTTCGTAGAAATCAGCTGTCAGGACCCGCTGGAAGGAAGGAAGGAGGAGAGAGAGAAGAGATTGGATTCATCCACCGCCCCTCACTCGGAGTCTCAGGGCGGCTTCCAAACTCCTTTCCCTTCCCTGTGAGGTGGGTGGGGCTGAGAGAGATCTTTCAAGGACTGCTCTTTCAAGAACAGCTCTGAGAGAACTGTGGCTTGCCGAAGGTCATCCAGCCAGGTGCAAGTGGAGGAGTGGGGAATCAAACCTGGTTCTCCCAGATTAGAGTCCGCGCACTTAACCACGACACCAAACTGGCTCTCAAGGAAGGAAGGAGGGGGGGGGGGAGAAGGCAGGCCAGCCCCAGAACCAGCCCCGCTGCCTCCCCCCCTTGCCCCCTGCAACCTCCACACAGAGTCACAGTCGCAAAAGCCAAGGGCCTCCTTCAACACAGGACCCTGGGGCTCATTTGTGAACGAGGGCAAGCTCGGAGGTAAGCCTGCCTTCTCTGGGCCGAGTGATTAATTACTGACACACCGAAACCAAGTGCTAATTTTATTAATGCTAATTAGATTTGTATCTATTAGTATTAATGGGTTTAATTAAGTTTCTGCAGACTTAAGACTGTTTAGGGAAAACGGCATCTGCTCCATTTCCCCATCTGTTACGGCCCCTTCGGTGGTGTGTGTGCGTGCTTCTGTGTATATTAAGGAGAAGAGATTGGATTTATACCCCGCCCTTCACTCGGGAGTCTCAGAGCAGCTGACAATCTCCTTTCCCTTCCCCTCCCCACAACAGACACCCTGTGAGGGAGGTGGGGCTGAGAGAGCTCTGACAGGAACGGCTCTTTTCCAAGAACAGCTCTTATCAGAACTACGGCTTGCCCAAGGTCATCCAGCCAGCTGCAAGTGGAGGAGTGGGGAATCAAAGCTGGTTCTCCCGTATCAGAGTCCACGCACTTCACCACTACACCAAACTGGCAAGCCTCTGGAACTTAACCACTACACCAAGCTGCCTCCCCTGGGCACTCTTTTAGCATGCCACCCTCATTCTACGGGGCTACACCCTCCCCAGGGAGCCTACGTGCAATGCTCCCTCTAAGCTGTGGAGTCTTGTGAACAAAAATTCAACTTTGTGAGCTGCTGGCATTACAGATGTGAGTGAACATTTGGCTGCTGCATAAATCAGTTTGCTCTTAGAGCTCTCCTTCCTGAGCTAAGACAAAAATGTGTGAGCCGGAGGCTAAAAAACTGTGAGCCAGCTCACACTAACTCAGCTTAGAGGGAACACTGCCTACGTGTGAAGTATTTCTACGAACACAACAGCTCAGACCTGCTCAGGTGTTTGCAAAGAGGCTTCCCGGAACGCCTTAAGTTCTCCCCAAGGCCAACAACGGCTTTTGGAACTCCCAGGAATGGAATTTTGTATACAGGAACACCGTATACCTTGGCTCGGAAGGCGATGGGTACATTCCAGAGGGCTTCTGGAGGACAAAGGGATGGGCAAGCGACCGTCTGAGGAGGTGGCATGCGTTCCAACAAAGACTCAGGCCTGACTGAGTCTACACCTCAGGGAACATCTTGCATCGGTCTCCTAATTTAGAGTCCAGTGGCATTTTTGAGACCGGCAAAGGTTAATTCAAGGTATGAACCAGAGGTCATTTCGGGGGGGCTCGCGGGTGATCCCAGTCCCCCGGGGTGAGGTACGGGGGGCGGGGCACATGACTAAGCCCCGCCCCCTGCTTCTGGACGCCCCGCTTCCGGCCCTCATTCAGCCAGGAGGAGGCAGGAGAAGAGGGAGGGTAAGTTGCTTCCTCCCTGCCTCTCCCCACCCCTGCCTGCCTGGGGCCAGGGAGGGCCTTCACGGGGCTTCCTCGCACTCCCACCGGCCTTGCAGGTCCACCGCCGGGCAGTGGAGCTGCAAGGCCGGCGGCGGTGGGCGGGACCGTTGGGGGCGGGGTCCGTGGCCTTATGACACACTTCCTGTGATGTCAGGGGGCGTGGCATATGCTAATGAGTTATGCTAATGAGTTCCCCTAGCTCTTTTTCTACGAAACGACCCCTGGTATGAGCTTCCGTGGGCTTACAAACTCCTTACAAACGACGCCCTTCCTCCCTTCCAGCCCCCTCCCCGTCGGTGACCCCCCGCCTCTCACCTTGCTGCTCTTGTCCCAGTGCACCCGCGGGACCACCACAAAGTCGAAGTGCTCCAGTTCGCGGGCGCAGCGCTCCCCGTTCTGCCCCTCGATTTCGAAGTTCAGCTCCTGGGCCAGGGTCCCCTTCATGTCCTGCGGAGGGAACAGGGGGCGTGAGTCGGCGAGAGGCCGCCGCTTTACCAGCCACGGGGAGCCGGCCACGTTTAGGAGCTCGGCGCAGGGTCAGAGGGTGCCACTCGCAAATCCTCTGCTGGCCTGCAGTCGCCGTTCGTCACCTCTGCCACTCTGCTAACACCCCTGGGGTGCGTGCCTTCGGCTGGCCCCAAGAGCGGGACACAAACAGGTGTGAGGATGCACCGGGCGGGAGGGGGGTGCCGCCTGGACAGACCCTGCCAGCACCCACCCAAACACCCTGCGGTGAGCTGCACCCCATTCCCAACAGATAAAAGAAACAGATAGAACAGACAAAAGGAAGTCCTTCTTCACCCAGAGAGTGATTAACACTTGGAATGCACTGCCACAGGAGATGGTGGCGGCTACAAGCATGGACGGCTTCAAGAGGGAATTAGATAAGCATATGGAGCAGAGGTCCATCAGTGGCTATTGGCCACAAGGTGTAGATAGGGGCTCTTGGTCTGGGGCAAGGGATGCTCTGTATTCTTGGTGCTTCGGGGGGGGGGCAGTGGGAGGGCTTCTGGTGTCCTGGCCCTACTGCTGGACCTCCTGATGGCACCTGGTATTTATGGCCACTGTGTGACACGGAGTGTTGGACTGGAGGGGCCACTGTCCTGATCCAACATTGGCTTCTCTTGTGTTCTTCTATGGAGGAGAGGTCCATCAGAGGCTATTAGCTACAAGGTGTAGACAGGAACTCTCAGGCTGGGGCC